GAGGTTCATTAAGCAACCTCTGGACCCGACAGCTTACAGACAGGCCCTGAACGGCATTCACAGGGACTCAGTCTCGAGTTATGTAGACTCTAGACCTGTGAATGCCGTTCTAGGCATACCACCCCCGGACATAGACGAGACGGAGCTTCATCTGCCTCGGGAGACACGCACACGGACTGTGGTTAGCCGTGGAGGCTGCTCTGTTTGAGCAACAGGGGGCCACGTACGACGTGGTCCACTGTCTATGTGTCCGTAGTCCCGAGCAGACTCTGAGGTGACTCCACCCCTCGCAGGTATTACACTTGACTGAGGTGGAGTTGTGGTGTAATCGTCTCCGGCACACAGCAGGTGTATGTTTCTGGCCCAGGGTTTGACTCGATGCCAGCCCTGAGTAGGAGAATACGTAGTGAATGTAGCCCTATGGACGGACAACTTCTGAGATACTTCGCCGACCTAAACGGGGTTAGATCGCCGAAACAACAGCCCTTGGTCGGGTGAAACCCGAGTCATTCCGTGCGTATTTGTATTTCCCTGCGCCTGAGGAAAAATCACCACGCCCAGTTCCTCGATAATTGAATGCGAACTGAAGCGAACTCACTAAAGACTGATTTTTACAATAGCTTCATTAAAAAATTCTACTACAAAAATTTGGAAAACGGTCGTGGCACCAACCACTTAGTATGGGATATGTGTTTCTCACTACCCGCTTTAGAATCTCTACCAAATTCAGTGCAGTAATTGCCATCGGTAGTATTAACATGTTTGAAATCGAACAAATAGCACTTATATAGTTCAGCCTATGAGGTCGTTTGCGCAATGGAATACTGGCGCAGAAACAGGAGTTGAGGAATAAGACCAAAATTGGAATATAACTGGCGGGTACCATTTAATAGTATTTTTGAAAAGGCCAAAAATTCAGTAACAAGCAACTTTGATCAAAAATCAAAATCACGTATACTTATCACATAACGGCAGAAAAGCTAGTGAAGCGATATTGAAACGGTTACTTTTTAACTTACCTCATCTCTGTACTTAGTAACGTATATGTAGAGCTCTTTCAATGCCGCTATGGTGTCAAATTCGTCACTCTGCTGAACTGACAATTGCTGCATGGCCGTATTCATTTCCTGGTCACTTATCTGTGGCAAACGCGCGACTTCGCGGTAAAACTGTTTAACCATTTTACGGTATTGGGGAATGTCCTTTAAATAAAGTGATGATCATCAACAAATAGTTTATCTTACTTCTGAAACAAACCTTTGCAAACAACAGCTTGTTCGATGGAGAATCTTTACCCAAGCGGTGTTCGGATGTGGAACATGCATCCATAAAAGTTTGCGCTATGACACTTAAACATGAATCCAATGTGACCGTCTTATTTATATCAAAAATGAAGTCCGGATTTTTTATAAAATTCACCCAAAATCGCAAAGGCAAACTGTTGGATTTCCAAGCATGAAGAATTTCCATATCAGCAACCTCGTTCCTGCGTGCTGCCTCGTCCAGTAGATCGAATAACCATTTAACAGCCGGTGGTAATTCTTCGTTCACTGTTAGTATTGTAGCAAAAAAATCATCAACAAATTTTTGTATTGTCCCTTTCGCTGCCAACAATCTTGTTAAATAAACTTCTGGTATAGTCTTGTTTACACGCTCACTAGTAGCACTACAAGCAGAAGTAGTAACGTTACTCCCAGAAATTACAGCATTTTTTATATTCATATAATGATCGGGTACTACTGCTTTAACCAGATGATAAACTCTCGGCTGTTGCAGCCCGCTTTCGATGTCGTTATTAATAATAATATGAGATTGTGAATTGTTTATGTAGTAAACTAAAAAAAAAAAAAAACATAATAGTAATATATCTACATAATACATAAATATAATAATATCTTAATCTTCTCAGGAGTTTTAATGATTGGCTTACAATTATGATACGGCGGTTGTTGCTTGCTGTAATGCATGTTATAGCCATCACCTTGGCGTGCTATTAACGACATTACAGCTGATTCTTTAACACCGTAATGGGCTAGTGTATTGAGACGTTTCCATCCATTTATCGTTTTTGTAGTTAGATCTTCATCTTGCAAGGTAAGATGGCCGCCACGACCATGACGCCATTCCAAATCTACTTCGTGCACTGACGGTCGACAAGAAAATGGTGTATTTTTAAAAAGGGCATCTAATATTTTTGATTTCACTTGCGAAATAGTATCCCAATCAAGTACTTTGCATTGCACCTTTTCGTCAAGATCATCCTGAACAATATGTAAGACTACAACTGAATGTGGAATTTGCTCGTGCAAGAGACGCTCCTCTGAAAGTGAGTATCGAGCCTCGTGCGTTACAGCATCTACAAGACCTTTTCCAATTTGATGCTTAATTGCTTTAAAAAGTAAAAATAGACTCGAACCAGCATATTCCTTTAGGTAATCATACATGCAAATGGCCATGTAATTTGTAAGCATTTTTTCTACAACACTTTCTGTGCGCCGTAACATTAAATGTGGATGCTTCCCCACAACTGACTTATCTACTAAACGTAACAGTAAGCATTTTAAAATCTCTGTTGCGTATTCCATTTTGTTCATTAAAACTATCATCAAAAGGGAAGCCACATTAACTCTGCGAAGCATAAGTAATAGTTGAAATGGTTAATACAAGGGTCTTGCGCATTACATATTATACGTTTAAATGGGTAGAGTAAAAAGTCATTGCGTATGAATGTAACGATGGCATTAGTAAAGTTTGGAAGCGTAAGAATCATTCACACATAAGTGTGTGATATTTCATTAAATTTTTGGCCGTTTAAGATTCATTCTCAAAAATAAAGTTATTTGGTTGAAATTTTACAAAAAGTTTAGGATGTGCAGTTTCTTCGTATTCCGCGCATTCATAAAGTTCATTTGAAGATGCGTGTAGATATAGCGAAATGCTACTGAAAACAATAATTTTTGAAAAGAATAATAATTGCTAGTGAAAAGTGGATCCTTTAGAACAAGGGTGGCCATTTCATTTTTCTCTTCTGCTTTCACACGTACACGAGAAAAACTGCGCTGCTCTCACACATATATGCGCATACTCTATGAATCAGTGAAACCAACGATTATGGTTTTACTGCGATCGTGCTCAATCGATGAGAGACTTTCAAGCCATCAAGTCCCTGCAAGACACGGTAAAAGTGTTTAATATGGAAGGGAGGGCACAATGTTTGGTGTGTCATGGTTCATGAAGAAATCGCACGGGTGACACACTTTTTCGTTAAGCGCCTGTATAGCGCCATTTTCCCTTATTATCAAATATTGTATTAATAAATTATTTCGTACATATGCACATAAATAAAAAGATGAATTTAAAATAATGAGGTTATTCACGCTTGCCTGGTTATCAGCTTATGTGGTTACGTGGTTATATTTTTTATTCAGTTTACAACAATAAAGTACACTACACAATAATTTTTAACCAGATAACCTAATAACCAGGCAAGCGTGAACAACCTCAATGCTAAAAAGAGTCATTTTACTTTTAATTCAAAATAAGAAGATTAATACAAATTAATTCAACTATTTGCTTTAATTTTAATTTAAGTTATAAAAAGTGAGTTAAACTATACTAAAATGTTAATTCTTTAATATATGAAGAGAATAAGTCGCTCACGCGTCTGATGCAAAGTGTTGTCAACGATTTCGAGTTGCAAATTATAAGAAAAAGGGATTTTTTTATTATGTAAATAGTGTGAAAGGTAGGGATTATTTTAACCTTAATTAGATACAGGTCCTTCTGCAAACGGCGAGTTAAAAAACTCTCCGAAAGATAACAAAATCATCAAACAAGGCGGGGAATATACATATTATAAACTGATCCTTGATCTTTTTACTTTAGATTGCTTTGAAGGACATACAGGAAATTCGCAGTGACTTTTTTCTACGCACAATACATCAAAAAAACATACAAACTCGCTACTTACTTGTCGCGAATATTAAACGTTTTCTGAGATTCTAAGGTTTCGATAAAAGTTAATACAAAATATTTGTTGCTAATCAGTTGTTCAAATTGAAGCATGGCAGTGTCGTAAGGAGTGTGCGGGGTATTCAATCGCAGCTAAAAAAAAAAAACAAAGATACATTTGTAGAATTCTCTAAATTTATAGAAATATAACGGCGAAGAGAGCAATTGGCTAATTGGATAACAACCTACCTCAATTTGTACTAAGTATGTAAAATAAACTAAGCTTTGGTGCTACCAAAATTGGATGATCGGAAACTCCTGGAAAGAAAACTTTCATTATGTAATTGACGTGGTCGAGGGTAGGTATGCCGCTGCTCTCCAAATCAGCAGTCAAATCCGTCATATCGGTTTGTAATTCGGCAAAAGCTTGCTTACATTCTGAACGAACATTGCTTTCTAAAGTAATCATTTGTATTTGTATGCGTTTATATTCACGCTCAGCTTGTGTTGATTTCCGCCTGTAGATAATTAGAACCACGAACAAGGCCACTAACGCGATGAGAACTGTAACAACGATACCAACTAGCGCATTTGAGAACGAGTATGGCTTAAGTAGATCATATTTTAAGTGTCCAATAACAAATCGCAAATTTCGGCCAACTTTTACAACAACTAAGGGCAAGGAGTTGACCTGTTCTACATCGTTTTCATCAGTGGGTGCGGGTTGCTTTTCAGGGGGAATGCATACTAATTGATTTAAAGCCAAACTGGTTATATTACACTGCGATGTACCAATTGTTACATTAACATCATATTCGTCTGCGGCGAGGTTTAACTGTTCGCCTTCTATGACTAATGTGTCGCCTTTATAAAGCTTGACCCCACCTGGAAATGGAGTATACTTCGGATCGGGCACGTAAACAATCGTACTACGAATATTTTGAAAATATTTACTTAAGTCGCGTACCCACTGCACATTGTCCATAATGAAACCAACTTGCAGATTTAATTGAGTTTCACGTATCTTAACAAAAGCGGCAACGTCAGCACCCGCTACCCCGGAATAACCATTTGCTGAGTTGGTGATCGTAGTGTATGAATACGAATTATCTTCGACTTGAGTACTACGCTTTCTTACACCATCAAATCTGAATTTCGAAAACGAAGACGTGTACGGATTTGTAGCTGCTATTTTAATTTGTTCCAAGGAGGCCTTGTATTCCAAAAACTTTGCATTGACCGACGGCGACGGGCACTCCATTTGGTTTGGATTTATAACAGTACAGGCACTCTTATTAATACGCCCATTGTCAATAGTTACCTCTAACTCGGGTTTCTGAATCGAATTCAAATGTAAGCCATGAACTGTTAATACCCTACCTCCGCTTGCAAAACTCCGCAAGGGTTTTATCTGCATTATTCGTGGATCTTGTGTATAATTGAATATTGAGCATATCCGCGGCGAGGGAATGTGATAATGATAAGCATAGTTTGTGCCTTGTTCAGGCGATACTTGATGTTGACTATATGAATTTTTATGCGAATGAATTTGCGGAAACATGGGATTGCTACAGGTATATGTCCGGTTGGCGCCATCTATAACTAATCGTAAAATTCGAATTGGTTCTGGTTGTGTAGCTTCCGATGTAATACAAGTCAAGCGCGACGAAGATGCTTGAGTTACATTTATATTGCATTCGTACTCATCTAGAAATGCTCGTATATGGGAGCCAATATTAAGATACTTTCCCATAAGTGAAATTTGCGTGCCACCAGATTTCGGACCGATTGTTGGTTGTAATCCATTAAGCTGTATATTCTTGAAATGAAATTGTACACTCGATTCTGTGTAACCAGCGTCATTGGCAACTTTTATAGGAGCGGATAGCTCATGTGCAACAGCACCAGTTCGACACTCAATTTTCACTGATATTTCATAGTTAACCAATTCACATGGAACTTTACCAATAGATATTTTTCCACGCACGTCTTCCTCTCGTATACCTAAATTACTGCCTTCAATAGTAATTAAAGTTCCACCTTCGATTGGTCCTGACAGAGGTTTAATCATATCGATGCGAGGACGTGGGCATTCGTTAGCGCGAATCATCGAATATGGCATATCATACGACCCTACAGCGTGCACCTCGGAAGAACATGTCTCATTGTAGACACATGAATTACCACACCACGAACACTGATATTTAGGATCCCTTGTAACACACAAGCTGCAATCAGCATGTTCACGATGGGAACCTAGCACATCACATTTATACAAGATAATGGTTGCCGTATCAACATAATGTTGCCGATTCCATATAATATCCACTTTTGCCTCATATTCATGGGTATTCCTTTCATAGAAATACTACATTCCAAAAAAGTTATTAATAAAAGTAATTAGAGCTGAGCTTATTTTCAAAACTTACCGGCGTCTTTTCACATACTACAATTTTATTTGATTCAATGCGTGCTGGCAAAAGCATTTGAGATGTTTCGATTTGAACGGTACACAAAAATCCGGAATGGGCACTTTTTGGCTTGGGAAGATTTTCAATTTCAAGTCTTATTTCTTTTGGCACTTGAACAGGCAGTAGTATCGGCTGCCGAGAAGGTTTCAAATGTGGACAGACTTCTTCATTACTAATAACATTCTCCATATTCCTGCATTCTTCCATTTTGTGTACACATTTATTGTCAAAAATGCACCAGTTGCACCCCCAAATACTGCGCACACAATTCTGACAAGTATTATGCCTAGAACAGTCAAAAAATGCAAAGGAACGCGACACAAAATCTTTATTGGTCTCTGAACTTCGAACAGAAAGCGGCACCAAAACGTGATCCATATTCGAACTGATCTGAGGTCTTTCCTCTATCGGCGGGGTAATACAAGCTAATCCATTTTCAAGTACATCAGCATCAATAGGGGTTGAGTTTCCAAAAACGCAGCGATATTTAGCATTGAACGGCTCTGGCAAAGTACGTATGACTAACTGCACCTGTGTAAGCTCAGTGATAGGTATTTTGTCAGGGACAACAGATTCGAAATCAATACATTGTTGACCACTTCCTAGTGAAAGCCAACGTGCGGCAGAAGTATCTTTTTGGCAAGTTGATCTGACAGTACAACGTTTTTCCAGTGAACACCAGCCACAAAAAGGATCACGAGATTCCAAGCACGAAGAGCAGTTAGAATAAACTGAGCAATGCTCTATTCGAAGTTTGGTAATCTATTTTAAAAATTATATCCTTGCATTAGTTGAAATGTAAACAATGAAGTTGTATAAACTAAAACTGGTAAGATACCAACGAATCCATCATTATATTTACCTTACGTTTCGAAAGCACATACAAGAACTCTTTATTTGAAGACATCATGGTGTCTTGAAGAATTCGATTGCCAGGATCGACTGTTATCTCTTCGTATTCGCCGGCATTGTGGCCAGATATTAAAACCTTTTTTATTGTGCCAAATTCAGTTCCCAAAAAAGCTAACGTATGAAGGCCAGTAGTCGTTGCAGTTACCGATGTTATACTAACATTTTCGAAGTGAAATAGGGATTGTGTAGTAATCGGCGAAGACCCACTAATCTTTAAACCAACCGTGCAAAAGTCTTGAATATTACCTATGGTCTGTACGCAAAAAATTGGCGATTTTAATCCAAAGTTGAATGTTAAATCGTATTTGAAAAAATACTTACACCTGCTACTGGACAATGACCATCATCGATAGTACCAGATATATAGCCCAAGTTGCGATCCTTAATAGTTCCGTTAAAACACATATGTATGTTCTCATTAAACATTTCTTCAATGTCTTTTAGACTATATATGCACATGGCCGATTTGGCTTCTACTTGATCTGTGATTTCTTTAGATGGCGAGAAGACGGCAACTAAAACAGAATCATCACGTTTTAGTCCCATTTTCTGAGCTAATTTTTGGCCAGCTTGAGTAATCTTTGCATCCCGTAATATGTTATAGTCAACATTATCCCTGGTTGCAAGACACTGAATGGTCACCTCGGTATAAGTATCATAATTCGGGTCCGCAACACAGATCCGCGCTAATCGAGTAACGTAGCCAGCTTCATCAGCTAAATGTGATTTCTTTTGCACTAGTGCAAAATAGGCATATTCTGATGAATTAAATCCGTACACATAGTTAACAAGAAAGTGATCACGATATTTAACATCTATATTAATAATAGATTGCTGTATTGAAAACTCAACATAATTTAAATCGTCTAAACGGCGTGATGAAATTGCTGGCACGTCATGCCTATAATCACCAACATTTGTAAATGTTGTACCAACATACAGAATATCTTCGTCTTTCCATGAATACTTTGCTGGACCAACAAATGCAAACGTGGAGGCGAACTCATCATTTGCAGCTAAAGGAGTTTCAATGAACTGAGGCGAGTTCGGAAAATTTGTAAGGTTATACATTTCACAGGCACCTACATATAAACAACATTTAGTGATGATTTAAATAATCAAAATTAATATGTATGCATGTCTTATTGTAAGTATAGTATAACACTCACCTTGCCGTACACTGCCACATACAATAAGTATTCCCACACCCTGTGCATAATTTACTATTAGTATTTTATTATGGTTATTAACTAGTGTTGTATCGACATCATCGGGGCAACCGCTGGCGTGACATTGGGGTGAATCATATTTGGGTCCTGTTAATGCCTGAGATAAAACACGCAAATTTTCATTCAATTGGAGTATCTTATTAGTTGCGCCAGCGTAAAAAACTTTACGCTTAGGATCGTATGCTAAATGGGTAAAATAATTTTTGTACTGAGAACCACTTAGAATAGTTGGATTCGAGCGATTAAGCGTATTAAGTGTGCTTGTCATTGTTGAAGAAGCGAGACCATCGGATCCTCCTTCAGTGGTACTACCTCCAGGAGCCAGTGCTGGCAAACTGAATTGTGCAACGATGTCACTTGAGGGAAATTGTAGTCCCATCTGTGTCGTATCATTTATACTCGTTGAGCTCGGCAAAGTGTTTTTCAATTTACTACTACCATTTCTGCTTTGACCGCTGCTTTCATTTAGCGCAACAACGGCACTAAAAACACTACAGTAACATAAGAAGCAGATCGTGCTGACTGTAAAAAATCTAAATAATCGTAAAACACGCTGCCGTTTTCGCCATCGCCAAAGTCTAATGTGTACATTGCCGCGTGTCCGAAGTTTGAAATATTGTGACATCAAGGTGCAGTTGTCAGCATCTTTGAATAAATGATATACGTTGTTAAACATAGCTGCAATCGTTCCTCGGACGGCATCAATCACGTTTTTTTCTGATGTCATTTATCTGTATCTCATGCATTGTTACCGGAGTACTTTTAAACTACATGTAATTATAAATATGGTTTATCATTTAAGCGCTATAAAAACGGTTATGCTAAGACTTCGCAGTAAGAAAGGAAAATTTCATCTGCATACATAGGATGTGAATTCCGAGGCAACATGAATTCCGTGTTTTTATTCCCTTTTCCAAAGTTAGCAATATTAAATAAGTTTCATCCTTGGCTTACAAACGAAACATTTCTTGAATACGTAATTCAATTTAAAATTTTTTTTCGTTTTTCAGATAAATACATTACTATTAGATGCTTTTTTCAGTCTTAACTTTTTTGTTAGCGTTATTCTATTTGAAATACTTCAATAATTCTCCAAGTAATGCACTCCTCAAATTGAATGTAAGATATACTGAAAGTAAAAAAAATATTTTTTAGTAAACTAAAGAACTACTTGATAAATTACAAAAGCAACGTTTAGGTGTGCATGATATATTTTATATATAACATTCTACCTTTTTACAAAAAATTCGTATTACTTAATTGTTCATTAGATTAGTCGCAAGGGATCAATGTGCGGACCAGATGACCTTTCTGCGATACAATACCTAGCTGTTGTTGCTGTATGGAACAACACCGAAGTTCCCCAACCTGTTTGGTGACCAGTGCTGAACTGACACCTCTTAGCCGGTTTTAAACCTGGGAAATAAATTTATTTTTTAAGATTTGAGGGTCGACGTAAGACTTGCAGTCTTTTATAATACATCAATAGATAGAAATTATTAAATTTAAGGTTAGGTAAGGTTATTCAGTCTGGCTGACCGCCCCACATAGACCAATAGGTCCCTAGTGATGCCAGATAGACATAGAGGTTTAGTTAAGTATACTCGAAGTATGGCTGACTTCCAAAACGTCAATTGCTTTGCATACGTACAAAGTATACTTTTCCAAAACGCATATGAAAAGTTATCGAAACGCATCGCTAGAGCAATCAGCGCATCAGAAATAAAGTTGATGCTTCGTTTGTTATTGGTTACCACTGATGTTTTAGAAATGGAAAATTCAGAGAAATTGTTCATTGCTATATTGAATATTTGAGATATGCAATGTATATGGCTGCAATGCGTCGCAACTTTGCATATACAAACAGTTTGAATACCGCAGTATAACAGTATTGATACGTTTTGGAAGTCAGCCTATACATCATTTCAAGATTATTATACTCTGGACCTCAGAGATATTTCAATCGTGTTTTGATACAGCAGGACAATGACTTGTGTGATGTGTTCTAGGGTCTCCCTTGTTCCCGTTCCCATGCATTTCCTGAAAACTTCACTGACAGCATTCCCCATTTTGTTTGCGTGCGCTGCCAACATGTTATGTCCAGTTAGGACACCTATCATATATATATAGATAAATATTAATATGTGTGCACCGCGACCTGGTGATCTATTGTGACCTCTTCTTCTCACAACACTTCATCTAAGCCCAGATCCCTCAGAAAGATCAATAGCGCCTTCGGGGGTAGGGAGTGGATGTGCTCAAGCTGTACCCATAGAGCCTACACTCCTCTCACATCTTCTGCAGACTGCATCAAACACGGTGAGAATGTGAAGCGGCGTCTCGCTGGTCAAGTCACAGAACCTACAGAGATCATTCAACCATATGCCCAGCTTATGTAGGCGACCCCTTAGTCTGCAGTGTCCTTTAAGAAAACTTGTTAGAAAACTTTGGAACGTCGCCAGTTTAGATCCCTTTGTGTGAACCTCCCTTTCCTAAGATCCTCCTTCCTGTCCTATATGCATGCTGACAAGTGTGTATAGGATTTGTCCTCAGAATGCTAGGAGGTAAGGCTTATAGGTCCGAAGGAATTTGCTAGCAGGTAATCCCCCTTTCCCACCTTCGGGGTAAAAATTACTCGCACCCTCCGCCACACCTGTGGAACGTAAGCTTCCACAAGACTGTTTCTCATTATGTCCTCTAGGTGTGGTATTAGATTCTCTCCACCCTGCTGTAACATGACTGGGCGGATGTCATCTACGCCAGGGGCCTTGTAGTGCTCGAACGATCGCAAAGCCCACCTAACTGAATCCTGGGTGAAAATACTTCTTTCTCAGTTTCCAGTCACATGGTTGTGGTCTAGTTCGCCAGAGCTCCGGGTCCAGTTCTAAGGTAGGCCTCCAGGAAGTGTGTTGTAAGCAGATTGGCTGCCCTATTGCTATTAGTATTATTAGTAAGTGCCATCCGGAAGCTTTAGTGCTAGTTACGACTTGACCGTCCCTCTGGCTAGAGCCTTGTGTAACCTCACGGCTGCTGGAGTGTTCGAGATACCTTCAAAATAGGTTCTGAAACTTTCTCTCTTCGCCTTCCTGACCTATTTGTTGTAGCTCGTTAGTTTAGCTGCATCCAGTGCGCTGGGCCTGGTTAAATAGCCTGCGCACCTCCTTCCAGAGAGCTCCCGAGACCACCACGCAGTTTTGGCCTTCCTCTTCGGCTTGGTCTCCGGGCAGCTAAAGTTAAATGCGTCGGTCATTATGTCTGTCAACCTGTTAACCTTATGTTCTAGCGACATATAAGCCCCTATTGCGAGTGTCGACTGGCAGTCGAATAGAAATTTGTCGATCGAGTCGATCATCTTTTATTTTGCTATTATGTAACTTGATCGATAAAAATTTGTACTATGTGAATGGTTGACTGAATTGCTGTTTGTTTGTTTACATTTGTTTACATTAGTAGAGTTGGCTAAAGCAAGTAGGGAATTGTCGGATCCTTTGGAGTTGGAAGATGAAGTGTACGTACATATGTGAATTTTATGAATAGAAGTTGCGTTCCAGATGCTTCACAGTTTGCAGGTTTTACAGGACTTGCAGGAAAAGCTATTTTCCTCATTAATAAACTTTATTGAAGTGTAAGAAATCGGTACGGTTTAGTTATTTGTACAATGATGTTGGGTATTTGTGTACAAAAGCGTGACCCGAGTTTAAGAACTTTAACATACAAGTGTAGCGAAAGAATTAAACTTTAATTCAAAATAAATATTTAAAATTTCCGAGCACTAGTTAATAAATAATGCAGTTTTTTGTAAACTTTGATGTTGGCTCTGCGCAAAAACAATTTGCACACGAAATATTGTATATCTTTCACAATAGAAGCGGAGACCCTCCTCTTTCCGAAAATTCCTTTGCCTTTGTCCCCATTCTCCTGCATCAGGTCGACCAACCGCGCAAGTTGCCTTTTGTTGCTTACAATTTTTGATCTGCAAGTCAGGCACATACATACATATGTATATTTCACAATTTTTTACAACTTCCAGTTCAATTGGCTTACTTTTTATCCATTATTGTACCACTCTCTAATGCAAATTTTATAAACGCATACTCCAACGACTAAGAAACAGCAATAGAAGGATGAGCGATTAAAAAGTATTCACAGTCGCTAATTGAGCGACTAAGCGACACTCACAATAGCATCGATACTCGATAATCGCTTAATAGTCGTTTATCTACTGCTAGTCGACATTCGCAATAGGGGTGATCGCCATCCCTTCTATGTTGCCTCTCTATACCGGGTAGGTTAAAATCTAATAATTTCCATTATTTTTCCCAGTCTGCATTCCTCCGCTCTGAGCAAGAATTGGATAATTCTATGATCAGATAACGAAGGCTCCGTGGACATTCGCAATAGGGGTGATCGCCATCCCTTCTATGTTGCCTCTCTATACCGGGTAGGTTAAAATCTAATAATTTCCATTATTTTTCCCAGTCTGCATTCCTCCGCTCTGAGCAAGAATTGGATAATTCTATGATCAGATAACGAAGGCTCCGTGGACATTCGCAATAGGGGTGATCGCCATCCCTTCTATGTTGCCTCTCTATACCGGGTAGGTTAAAATCTAATAATTTCCATTATTTTTCCCAGTCTGCATTCCTCCGCTCTGAGCAAGAATTGGATAATTCTATGATCAGATAACGAAGGCTCCGTGGACATTCGCAATAGGGGTGATCGCCATCCCTTCTATGTTGCCTCTCTATACCGGGTAGGTTAAAATCTAATAATTTCCATTATTTTTCCCAGTCTGCATTCCTCCGCTCTGAGCAAGAATTGGATAATTCTATGATCAGATAACGAAGGCTCCGTGGACAGTTATCATAGTTCTGCAGTCTATTCGTGCCAGTGATAGTATAAACCGGGTTTGTGTCTCGTTTTCCAGTCTGCACATGACTTTTGAGATTTTACAGGTGTTAAACGCATTCCACCTTGATATAGTCTGCTTTTTCACCCTCTGGTATGTTTCGTTATAAAGATTTTTAGCTGTTTCGGAATGTTATTCTCTTGTTCTAGAACCAAGTGGATTCCGCTCTTGGCAATCTCATCTACAATTTCGTTACCTGTAATGCTCTTGTGGTCGGGGATCCAATAAGTATGTATGTAAATTGGTATGAACTTATAGCTTAATCGCTGCTTGACTAACTATGTATATGTTAAATTTAATTTTATTTTCAGTCATTAAGTAGGCTAGCTCAGCGGCACTTCTCACTGCGAAAACCTCTGCCTGGAATATACTGCAGTGATCCGGCAGTTTGATGGGCTGACGAACATTAAGTTGTCAGCAGTACACTCCCGCTCCTACTCCATCATTAATTTTTGAGCCGTCTGTTAAGAAGCTATTTGTCTTCCGGCAAGGCTTCAGGCCTCTACGCCATCCGTTTTCTTCGATAGTAACCCGAAGCTCCTTATCCCAATTATAGCAAGGTAACATGTAGTCCGTGGTGGCTACATGGCCTTTGGCTATTGAGCTGTAGCCAGTGTTTCTTTGCTTGAACTCCACGTCTGCAATCAGTCTCCCCGCGGAGTTAGCAGCAAGGCTCTTTTCCGCAAGGTCGATAGGTATTACATTGACAATTGTTTCCAGTGCAGATGTTGGAGTTGTTCTCAGTGCACAATAGAGAGAGACATTGAACACTCTCCATGGTCTTGAGATAAGTGCTCCATTCTGTCGCGGTCCACCACACCAAAGCGTAATAAGTAATATTGGTCTTACTATTGCTGTGTAGCACCAAAGCATTAGGGCAGGGGATAGGCCCCTAGTAATACCTAGCATCTTTTTGCATGCGTAGAGGGCATTACTCGCTTTCTTCACTTTGTCCTTCACATTGTACCTCGACAACAGTGTGCAGTCCAGGATTACTCCAAGGTACTTAGTGCGGTCTTTTGGTTTGAGTTCCATTCCGTTCAGTTTAGGGAGCTTCCGCTTAGGTATCTTGTACTTTCTTTTAAAAAGTAACATATCCGTTTCATCTGCATTAATTCTTAACCCCGCGTGAGCAGTCCATTGGTGTATAGTAATGAGAGCTCCATTCATTATAATATAAAATTAAAGTTTATCTAAATTTAACTAACGAAACTAATTTTAAAGTTTGAGATACAGACAAGATCAAGACGAACGCAGAATATGAAAAGAGAAAGATCGAGAAGAGAAGACAGTTCAATCGCAATCACATTATATTTAATAATAATAATAGATTGGCGCTTACACATATGTTAGTGTTTGGCCGAGCTTCTCCTCCGACTT